AGCTGGCGGGGCTGCGCAGCGAGAGCCTCTGGGTGCCACGGCAGATCACTGCTCTGCAGCTCTGGGAGGAGATCGTCAAGGTCCACCCCAGGTATGCGGGAACATTACTGCCGAGGTGCACAAAATGTAACATGGTTGGGTTTTTTTTCGTAAATACAAATTCACCATTCAGAGTTGAGCACATACCGGTGCTTTGCTACCATAAAAGCAGTGACATTGCCTTGTTCTTGTAACCTGCAGGGAGTGCTTTGGCTAGATGCAAATGCTGTAGCCATATATATACACAGGGAAAGATTAGGTCCAGTAAGTCTACCCAAAAGTAGGGCCCGAGGGATGGTTTCAAACATGAGGCACATTGTCCAGAAGCGCCATGGTACAGTAACACCACTGCTGTGAGAACATGTGAGCTTCGTTGTTAAGCTGTGGAGAAGGTGAGCCAGAGCAAGAAGAAATTAATGATTATGAACAGGTGTCTTTGATAATTTTTCTTTACTGTACTGTTTGAGCTTCTGGCACACACTGGAAAGCTGGTCAGGAAGGGAACTTAAGCTCTGCCACAGCCAATCAGCCCTTACCTAGGAAATAGTCTCAGCCACTTTCAACATCCTCTGCTTAGAAAAAAAAATAAAATAAGCCACCATTGATTTCATTTTGTAGAGAGTCTGGTCCTGAGAGAGAGCACTAGGTGTGTGCTGTAAGGACTCCTGCAGTGCTGGTGCTCTCTGGGAGAGTTAGCAGAAATCTCCCCATCTGGTTAAGGCTGAGGGAAGGTGCTCAGTCCTGTCAGTGAGTCTGATCGACAAAGATGCAACACTGTTTTGGGGTGGGGAGTAAAAAAAAGTAAAGTATAACAGAGATTGAGGTCCTCGAGATTTAGTGCTGAATTCACCAGAGTTTCTGTAACTTTGAACTTAAGTGCCATAGACCTTCTTTAGGCACCACCTTTCTCTGTTAGATCTAGTCTCAAAGGCTATGAAAAATTAACTATTTAGGAATGGCATCTGTTTCCAAATGAGAAGCTCTCATCAAATGTTAGATTGAGAGGCCTTTTCATCACAGAGAATTGGGACTGAGTGTATTTTGGAAGAGGAGGCTGTAGGCAATTAGTTTCTTTTACTTTGCAACCTATTACATGGTGTTGGAAGCAGGAGCAGCACCTTTGGTTGGTTTATCATAGTTTGTCAACTTTGTCCTTTTATGAGTGGTGACTTGGGGCACTACATTTTGCATGTGCAGTTAGTTCACAGCAGCCTTCTTGGAAAATACTGCTGCTCCTAGCTTTTCTGGAAAAACTCAGCATAACTGTAGGGCATTGACCACAGACTTCTATTCACATTAATAATGGATATTCAAACTGCAGCTTGAGTGTACTTGGCAGTGCTCTTCTGTTCCACCCATTTTCCCTGATGAATTAACTTGCAAGTGACATTAATTAGATCCCATCCTTCTAATGGGCACTTGAGTTCCATACTTGCACTCAGTTCCTCAGTGGCTTCCTTTACTTTCATACAGTTCCTCCCTTCAGTCTGCCATCTGAGTCAGTTGCTACTGTATTTTGCTCAGCCTGTGCCTTGCCTACTTTGTCTGTCTGGTTGGTAGGAAATAAGATGATTTTTCCTTGTACTCTTTTGGTGTGCCTACTTGTTTCTAGGCAATACAGCTCTCCACTGTCTGTGCCAGCTTTTGTACTCTCAGACAGTAACAGTTACCATGCCTCCATCTTCTAAAGTAAAATAGTGGCCGCGTTTTTCTGGTGTCTTACTGGTGGTGTCCTCGTACTCACTAGGTGATTGCACTCAGTCATGAAAATGACTCTCTGGTATCTAGAGCTGTGAACTCTCACAGCAGCATATCACAGATATGAAAAAAAAATATATAGAAGATCTGACAGAAAACGCACCATATCTGCCCTTTTATTTCTCTTGCCACTCCTAGCAATAGCAAATTTCAGACCTCTAAGTACAAAAGTCCCAAAACCTCATAAACTGTGAGGTTACACAACAAGAGCAACTCTTTGACCACTGAATGAGGTGTCACGACCAGCATCCCACAGTGCTGCTTTCCATGTAAGAAGATTGCTCCAGTCCAGCCAGACTGAATACAGAACATTTCCTTCTAATCCCAAGTTGTATGGTTGCTGCTCTCTTGAGTTACCTACTTCTTTGTTTTAAGCTGCTAAAGTGGGTCTGGTATACATTGGTTCGTTCTTGCATAGGCCTACGAAAAATCCAATTCTTGACTTCTGAAAATTATACTGAGTTAGTTTCTCCTTAGCCACCAGAAGAAAATCCAAGAGTAGGAGGTGGGTGTTTGTTGTATTTTTGGAAGTGTATTGGAAGCAGAATTGCATAAGTCTCAGTGGTATTTACCTTAGCTGCACCAGTTCGTTGTTTAATGAAATCTCATGGTTAAATGCAAACACTCTATTTAGAAACCTATTTATGCTCCTGCCAATTCCCCTCAGGCTTGCTGTTATCCGGGATCAAGTGGTTTTTGCTGTTCGACAGGAGTACGTGCTTCTTGGAGATCAGCTCCTAGTCCTGCAGCCCGGAGACGAGGTTGCCATCATCCCACCGATTAGTGGAGGCTGAATCTGCCCAGGTTGTGTTAGGTAGGTATTACTTCTTGCTTAGTTTCCTATGGAGTGTCATCCTGTGCTGAAATACCTCATGGATTCTGTATAAACGTTCCTATAATCTTTTGGTTATTATAGGTCCAGAGATGTGATTGCAGTTCTCCTCCTCCACCCTGGTTCTTTTTTGAGAGAGCATAATTTGCGTTTCCTGCTGGAGAGAACAGTTGTGCTGACGGGAAACTATAAGCTGGTGCATCAATATATGATTAACATGTATGCAGTAAATGAAAGAAAATTGCCAGAGAGGTCAGGCATTGTTTTGAATTTGGCTTTTAGGTCTCGTTATTCTTTCCTAGTTCTTTTTGGCTGCCAGTAGATACCCAGGTTGTCTGAAATAAGATAATAATGAAAAACCTTTTGCCGCTTTTTAAATGAAAAGATGGTACAGAAGAAGACTTGACTGCTGCTCAGAAATTACATTTTTTTTTAATTCTCTTCTCGTTGCTGTCAAAGGAACAGGTGGCCTTAGAAAAGCTTCATTTCTTCGCATGCTTTCATGTGCCAGTCCATTTATTTACTGCAGCTTGTTCCATTGCTGCTGCTTAAAATACTTCTTCTGCTCATTCTTATTTCTACTCAGAGAAATTGTGTCTCCTGTGTAACTGAAACAGACTGATAGTATGGGGACCTGGGTGTACTGGAGAGCATACTAGATGTTATGATTAGAACTCTAATTCATGTTTATCAGAAATACCTGTTTTAAACTATGTTTGATTTCAGGGTAAGATAGGGAGGAGGGGTTGACAGTCTCACCACAGATTTACTAGCACAGTGGTCCGTGCTGATTGATTGTCCTGTTAAACTGGAGCTTCAGACTAGTTCTAGATTCATCTTGCTGGACCAGACTTTCCTACCACGAACGAACCTGTCTGCATTAAAAACCAGATCATTGCTTGATATTCACAGTTGATATTTTTCTCTGCCAGTCTTCTGAGAAATGTATTTGCCATGGGAGACTGGTCTTCTGGGGTCAATAAGTAGATGGTGCATGTTTTCTGCATAAACTGGGGCACCAGCACAGGATAAATAGCAGTTGGCCAATGTTAGTATCGCCAAAACCAACAACAGAGTCTGTTTGGTTACAGCTTTTCTAGTGAGCCATGAATGAAAGCGAAGATGTGCCAAAAGATTTTATCAAGCTCAAGTCTGAAAAGCTCTCTGTAGATGAAGTGTCAGAGCTGGTTATTTCACCATACTGTGGAGCAGTGTCTCTGTTCATTGGTAAGTTTAATATTTCTGAGCTGGATCTGTGGGTGTGTTAATAGTCTAATAAATGAGTTGTCCACACCTCAAACTTATGTTTTTCAAATAAATTAATTCCTGGGCTGAATCCAGGGTGTTCAGAAAGCACATTCTGAATTATTTAGAACAAGGCCAGGGCAACTCCTTTTAACAGTTGCATGAGGACAAAGTGATGAGAAGCTTCCCTGCTGCTGTGGTTGTCCTAGGACCAAACAGCAGTTCTGGAGTACAGGACTGCTTGGGAGCTATTCTACCATCCCCTTGGACACAGCCTGTTCAAAATAGAAGGTGGGTTGTTGTGGCTATGCAAACCACATCTGTAAGCACTTGCAACTCAAGTGTTGGTTGAAAGTAAAGTACTGTATTACCCATGGGCTGGTCAAGATCAAGGCTGATAGCTCTGTCTCGTTGCTTAATGTACATGGTACAGATCCTGAAACCCTGTTGTGCTTTAATGTTAGCGCTACTGGACTCCTAAATACTGAGCACTGAAACACTGCATGGAAAAATGCATTTTAGCAGTTACCACAGAAAATGTCTGAGCCTTGGGCATCATGGACTGTTTTTTTTAAACTAAATTCTTCCTGGTGTATTAAAAGAATTCTCTTGTTCAAAGAATCTCTCTACACAGCCATGGTTAGGGTAGGTGGTTTATATTGCACAGTGCTGATCTTGACAATAGCAGGAGATCTTGGGTTTTACTTAGTATTTATATAAATGTTATATATTAATAATACTATTATTA